GCTAGCTTGTTGTGTAGTTGCTAGCTAGCTAGATGATGTGAGTGACAAGAAGTTGATGTGCTAAATTTGAGCATGAAAATTTGAATATTAAAAATAATAAAGAATTATCTTGTAAATGCGATTCTATTGTCCTCATGTGATTAGAGACCTGGTGGCCTTGCATCTGATACATGGACCTTTTTCTGCCTCAGGTTTTTGCTTATGGAATGGAAGTGTAAGATCTGCAAGTCTTTGTCTGCCACAAAAGGAAATCTACTAAAGCGTTACAGACAACACGCAATGTTTGGTCGTGGCCAATCCCAGCCATGCCTATATGACAGTTGCCCTTGCACATTTAAAACGCAGAGTGCCCTTCGCACACATTTGTCCAGATACCATTCAGATGAAGAAAGTCTACGGTCAGGAAACATCTCTGCTTTTAAGTGTTTAGTTTGCAATGCTTGTTGTTCTATAGAGAAGGACTACTTTCAGCATATTGGAAATCATCTGAAGAGCCACGAAACTGTCTTTTGTGTATTTGAAGGATGCAGCTTTCAGACAAATATATACAATACATTTCTAAAACACAAAAGCAAAAGACACAAATCCTATTCTTTGAGTGATTTTAAGAAAGATGTGTATGAGAGTCGCCATAATCAGACTGTTGACCATTCTGATTTACCAGAGGCCAATGATGGTGAGGGCACTAGTTTAGATTGTGATCAGGAAAGTGCATCATACTTAGATCTTCAAAGAATTGGCTTACTTCTGCTGAAGCTAGAAACCATCTATAATGCCTCAGTGAAGTGCATTGATGCCTTGGTTGAAGACCTTCAGTTCATTTCATCTTCAGTATCAGTTGCAGTTGTTAGGAACATACTAGATTCAACATTGAAGGTGAATAAATGCATTGTTGACCAGGCCATCGTAACTGAATTGTCAGCAGTTGTGCAACTTCCATCCCATTAGTACAGCACTTGGAGCAGGTGGTACACTTGGTTCGGCTTTTAAGAGAAGAAAGTATTTTAAGGTGCATTTCCAGTGTGTTGATAGCATTGAATATATTATTGATACTGAAAAGAACAAGACCTTTCAATGTGTGCCTATTCTCCAGACTTTGCAGGAAGTCTTGAAGAATGAAGACATTGCAGAAATAATTTTATCCAGAAAATCAAATAGTACTGGATATATTAAGTCAATTTTTGATGGAAAATCCTTCAAGCAAAATGTATTTTATGCTGGGGAAGAAACAAGACTGTCTATAATCCTTTACGTTGACGACTTTGAAGTGTGTAACCCACTAGGAACTTATAGAAAAAAAACACAAAATAACAGCTGTTTATTGGGTTTTGGCAAATGTTCCAACAAAGTTGCAATCTGCATTAACGTCAATACACCTAGCTTTACTTTGCAAAGCTGTTGATGTCAAACAGTTTGAATACAGAGCAGTTTTGGAACCACTCTTGAAGGATCTTGTCATTCTAGAACAGGAAGGGATTTTCATTTCCAGTGTTGGAAAAAACATTAAAGGGACAGTACATTGTGTTGTAGCTGACAATCTCGATGCACATTCTATCAGTGGACTAGTTGAATGTTTCACGGGGCCGTACATCTGTAGATTTTGTCTTGGACATTCTTCAGAGTACCAGACACACGAAGTGCGGACCGGAGTGTTTCCACCTCGGACAAAAAAGGAACATAGTTTGCATGTGCAAACTGAGAGAAAATCCAAATGTTACTCATTGCTTTGGCGTAAAGCGGTCGTGTCCATTGACTGATAAATTAAATCACTTTCATTTTGAGTCTGGGTACCCACCAGATGTACTACATGACCTTTTGGAAGGCATAGTCCCAAGGGAACTAGCATTGTGTTTTCAGATTTTCACCAAGAAGAAGTACTTCAGTTTGACTGAGCTTAACGAGTTAATAACTGAGTCTGACTGTCAAAGTTCTGCGTTATAGGCCTATACATCTGATAGGCTATCAGAGAATGCACTGATTTGTTATTGAAAGCTATCTTTATTTTTGTTTAATGTTTCTTGGGTGTTCTAACATTGTGCTTTCTTCTGATGTGACGCTGACCTAGGCCATTGCAAGTGTTTGTTCTAAAGGAATAGATGTAAGATGCATAGAACATCTGTAGGCTGTGCTAGTTTACTTGTTAGAAAGCCATGCTTGTACTGTAATTATGCATGTTAAAAAAGATAGGTCCACCCGGATTGTGGATTATGGCTACTAGTATAAGTACAGGGAATGCAAGTCAATTCACGTGATGTTTTAATCTCTTTTAGCGGTTTGAAAAACATATTGGCCCTTAGGATTTCAATTTGCGCATATAAAAAAGAAATATGAAAGTTTTTTTACAGATTTTTTTTAAACATTGTCGTAATTTAAATGTGCTAAAAAGACTAAACCTTAAATCACATCCAAAAAAGTAATCTGTGCCTGTAATGCCCACAAATTATAAATACCTCCAGTATTGTATCCCTATTGTACACATACGTGATTTCTGTCTTTGTTTTGTACTTGTAATATGTTGGATAAACATGTTGAGACAAAATTGCACGAATAAATGTTAACCTGCTGTTCCTTTTCATGGTTCTTATCTTTTTCATGGTGATCGGTTGACTTAACGTAAGTGAATTGTGGCACCACGAAGGCATGATATTGGGTGGATTAGAAATAGAAAAGATATGGCAACAGACATTCAATATAAGTATTTTATTTAGTAAATCCAAATCATTTTGATCCAGATATTTAGTAAGCTTATATCAATTTCACCCAGACAATTATTAAATGTAAATCAATTTCACCCAGATCATTAATAAATATTAATCAGATACCACCAGATATTTAGTAAATCTAAATTACCATTGCTCAGATATTAAGTAAATATAAATCACTTTTCCTTGTAAAATCTATTTGGATTTACACAATTTTTTTTAGGCTATATAACTCATCATTTGGAATCATATTACTAAATCCAACACATTTTAACTGTTGCTTTTATTACCATGTACTTATTTTTATTATTATTTTTTAGTTATTTTATTCAACACTTTTTATTCAAAGTTGTAGTGCTTAAAATCTACTCAATTATATTACGTGTCACTTTGTTGCCATACTTTTTTTAAGTAACAATGTGTCACATTTTTTACAGTGTACGTGTTAAACTAAAAAGCATGCGTTTAGATTATTTGGCTGATATAAATTTCCACACGATAAGCCACTTTGTTGAGCTATCATTTGTGGCCAGGCCGCTTCTGAAAAGAGCTGTGGAGCTCAGTGGGCCTTACCTGGTGAAATAAAAAGTTGAGTTTTAGTGTATTACAAGCTCAGCATCCGACTGACATGTCATGCAGTTCAGTGCCTGTAGGGGCGCTATGCTGACGATGTCAGCGTATCCGAGATGTTCATGTTTTCGTCATGAATATGTATGCATTTGTTTCTAACCAATATTCAAGAGATACGGTTAAAAAAATACTCTCAAAGCCGGATTCGGGGTAAGCCGGCAGGGCCTCCGGCCAGGATACCGTGAAGCAGAAGACGAAAGATGTGGCTCGAAGCAGTGAACCAGGATGCGAAGGAATGTGGACGAGTGGACGTGGGGATGACCGCACAGGACCGAGCGGAGGAGCAGCAGGCGGGACAGACCCCACACGAGTGGGGGGGATGGGACAGGAGTGAGGGGGAGAGGAACCACGATGATTCCTCTCCACGAGGCGTTCTCTTATTGGGCCGCGTTCCAATGACAAGTGTGACACGTGATCCAACGTTCCGATGACGAGGCGCTCTCATTACCTCGGTGAGCACCACGTGGGCTGAGCTCACGGATTCTCGGACACGTGACGTCAGACTAGTCGGGGGGTTGATTGTCTCATGCTTACAGCTGCAAACATCTTACTCTCACCGTTTATCTCACAATTGCAAACATCTCCCACCTCAAGCTCGTTGATGTCACCTTCGAGAATTAATCTCATTTGAGTCCATCTCATGCTTTATCTCAACATCTCTCATGCTCCTTAAACATCTCCAATCCCCACAGCTCATATTCGTTCATCTTTTTTTATCTCACGCCGGGGAAAAAAAAAACCTCTCAATGCACCATACATCACACGGATCTTCAAATATACGTATCGTATCTATCATACGTATCTACCTACCTCCCATGTCAACATCTCACACTTGTACGACAGCGCAGGCTTTCACGGCCGGCCTCTACAGCTCTCCCACGCGAGCCACGGGTTGTCCGGTATTTCGCCGATTCATCTCGTGACAACCTCCCACCATCTCTCTTCGATGCCACCTCTCGTCTACTGGGTCACCGTGCACTCTTCCATCTTTCAACACCGCAGCGAAAACAAGGAGGCGTCTCTCTAAGCTCATGTCCGTTGGCAGTCCCGATCTCGCCGTGGAAATTCCCATTTCTGCAGCGGGAAAACGAGTTGACTTCCCCTTTTGGAATCCGTTTTATTGATCCTTGAGGGATGATAGACCGAGTGAATGAGACGTTACCTCCTGCCTGGCCAGGTGGTAACTACGTCGCGCCTCGCTTGCAGGAATTCGTGGGTTCGATCCCGACCCTGACGCTTGTATATTTGGAGTTTGCATGTTCTCCCCATGGTCGCGTGGATTTTTCTCCGGGTCCTCCGGTTTTTCTCTCTACATTTGGAATCAACATGCCTTGAGAGTATTTGGCTGCTAAACATCTCCACATGGTGAACCACTTCGTAGAGCTATCATGTGTGGCCAGGTCGCTTCTGAAAAAGAGCTTGTCAGCTCAGTGGGTAAGATGAATGAAAAACATAGAATCACTAATAGGGGGGATTTTAACTCGTCACTGCATTGCAAGTTGTGCACACTGGCCACGGCACCCACTCGAGGGACCGTGGTGTTGGTATCGAATCCACAAGCGACGCATCGTGGCTATTTGACAGGAAACGAGCATGGTATGCATATCTCGGTGCGTTTACAAATCACAACCAAAATGCGTTCATCAAAACAAATTCGACAGCTTGCCCTATCGTTTTTTTTTTCTTTATTGAATTTGATGCAATTCAAAATAAAATATGCTCCAACAATATCGTATCGTACACAGCAGACCCGCAAAATCCAGGCACCGCAAAACGCGCAAATGCCACCCAACAGGGAACGACGCCCACGTGTTCGCTGCAGACACGCGTGTCGGAGAGTCGCAGAGGCGACGAGCCAGCATTGCTCACGCACGCTTTCAGGTGAAGTCTTTTTTCTAGACAGGAACTGTACAACGCACATGCACAGCGCGGACTTGGCCATGGAGGATGCAGCGACTTGCGACCACCGGCGGTGAGGAGAGAACTAAAAGTGAAAATGCCTGTCATCGACAATGCAAGCGGGGCACGCATGTTTGGGGACAACGGATACACTCGGCGATCAAACAAGCCCTGCTGAACCCCCCCGACACTTCTGGGCCCAGGCAATGCCCCCGTCGCCCTCATACATTGAATAAACAAGCCCCGTTCTACTGAAAGAGTACAGTATTATTAATCACCGGCCAGCAGAGTAAACTAGAGGCAGGCAGCCCGAAGCGTAAATTCCAGCCTGACATGACCCCTTGCCCCCCACCATAGCTGCTGTTCAGCTGCTTCTGGTGTTACCCCCCCCCCCCCACCCCCTTAGCCAAAACCAAATCGGCCAAGCAACCGTGGCACGAGGTCTACCCCTGAGCCGACCAAGCCCTCGATCCACCATCTGGTGTTTAAGAAGCAGGCCACTTTTCATTGTTGGGTTTACTTTTCACTGTTGCTGTTTAGAGCACTCTACATATTTCCTCTGATCACCGCAGCATCGCTATCCCAGCTGTTGAGAGCAAACCCCGATAGCTGTGGATTCCTATGGGAGCCAATGGGAAGCTAATGGCCAGTTACAACTTAGCACGAATTTGGACAGCGTCTTCTCTAAATCCGCTGCGGAGTTGCTTAAAGTAACTCAAGTGCCCACAATGGGCTGTTCTACCCAAGCCACATGAAATGAAGCGAATTCAGAAAAACCTTTTTCAACAATTCACGTGTTTTAAGATAGCACCTAATTTTATCTTTCAAAATTCTGCGATAAAAACAATCCATCTTAAGGCGGCGTAATGGGCTGTATGAACCTTATGTAAAATGTTTTGCATGATCCGGGCCCAACTTGACAACTTAGTCCCACGCTGCGCTTTCTGTCCTTGTGGAAAGCAATCAGCTGCTCAGTGGCATGGTAGCGGTGGTAGTGGCACGATCCCACCCATGCATTGACAGCTTGGTACATCGGGGATGCTGGCCTAAGGTCGCTCAGAAATTACGGGAAAGTGTGCAGATCGTACAATTGTCTAAAAAAAATAAACACTAATGTAAAAAAACGCCAACCTTAAACACCCAAAAAACAAATAGTTGAAGTCAACACCAAATTTAACCAAATGATTTGAAACCCACCAGATCCATCAGAAACACGAAGAGACGATTTTGCTGCGTAAACTTTGCCTTAAAACAGCACTGCTGTACGAGCAAAGCTACGTCATTTTACCTTCACAAAATCAACGGAATCTTCTTTAACCGCAAACTTCCGAGTGTTTCTAATGCAGCTGACCGTATTGCCCGCAACTCTGATATGCCTAACCACTTCGTCGCTAAAAACCCACCCCCGTCTCAGAACACATTTAAAAATAAAGAAAATTAATGCACCAGCATTATTACAAGAGCCGAGTCCTTTGCTCTGGGACTCAGAACAGACGAAGCGATATTTTCACTTTCGCACGTGAGATAATGGTTTACCAAAAGTGCCAACAATTCAGAATGTTAAGTAATATTCCTTGAAAGGGATCGATATATTTTTTGTGGGAGCAGGGGAAAATTATAAATTCATGATTATGTTAGTCCTGTTCTTTTTGAGTTTAGTACTACCTTGCAAAACCAGGGTAAAAGCAGTATTCAATTAACACCGCCCTAAAAACAATGGCTTGCTCTGGCACCAAGATGAAGAGCAATACCTTTCGCTTTTACAGGGGTATTTACTCTGTACGTATATAGATGGGTCAGGGAGAATGCAGCTCGCTGCTCTGGGAAGGACTAGTCATGAAGCCATATTGCCTTTGGGGTTTGCCGTCAGACAAGAAAATACATTTATCCGGAGATCACAGTTCATTAGGCTACATGTGCAGGCACAAAGAGCTGTGGGGTTCATAACAAGAGTGCCTTATCCGGTCCTCCTATACCCCCAACCAATTATAACACAGGAGACATAAAAAGAGCCGCGCTCCTCAACATTCATTACAGGCGGCCCCGGTTCCCAATGCGGTGCCCAAAACACAATCGAGGTGCCAGGGAGTTCGCTGGGTTCGCGCCCTCGCTCGCTCGCCCTCACTCCCTCACGCTCGCCCTCGCCCGCCCACGCTCGTCCTCGCCCGCCCACGCTCGTTCGCTCGCCCACGGTCGTTCGCTCCCTCACGCGCGCTCCCTCATGCTCGTGTCGGAGGCATCGAGCTTGGTAGCGCTCCGACCCTGGACACTCGAATGCAGGCAGCGGCTAAAGATGACAGCAGATTTGAATGCTTCAGTGTGATTATTTCACGTCGGCCTGAAACTTAATTTTTTTACTTGGGTTTTGTAAATCAGTCTTGTCAATATGCGTGGGTCTATTTATAGCAGGTGGGCATAGGGAACGTGACTCTAAAGCAGCTAAACTAATGTTTTTCTTATTTTACCAGGTAAGGCCCACTGAGCTACGTAGCTATTTTTCAGAATCGACCTGGCCACAAATGATAGCTCAACGAAGTGGCTTATCATGTGGAAATTTATAGCAGCCAAATACTCTCAAAGCATGTTATGTGGATGAAAAAATTGGACCCTAAGAAAATCCACGCCACCACGGAGAGAGAACACGCAAACCCCAAATATACAGCAGGCGTTAGGGGTCGGAATTGAACCCACGACCTGCATACCAGGCGAGGTAGTTAACATCTCGCCACTGCGGCGCCCTGGAGCATGCAAACCAGCGCTCGTGACGTCAGGCAGAGGCCTGCGATATTACTTGTGGATCGCTCGATTAGACGATGCTGTGCCTCTGCTGTTTTAGGAATCTCAATAAGAGGGAAAGACGTTCTTCACTCCATGCCTAGTGCTTGGAATTTAATCGATAAAAAAAAACACATACAAAGCAAAACAGTACTTCTGATTTTGCCATGGGGAGAGAGGAAGGCTGCCGACACTTCACAATCGTCACCAAGAAACAAGGGGAATAAAATAGCAACTCAAAATCAATGTACCATTGCACAGCAGAACCAGGAACCTGGAGAGAATGGGCCGAGCCGAAGGTTGAATCGAAACGCAATGCAGACGAAGCGAGCTTAACCGCCCGACTTCGGATCGCTCTCTTCCAGCTGTCCACACACTCGCGCGTCTGATGCCATTCCGTTTGCCCAATTTAAAATGAGGCGAGAGCTTTGATTGGAGACCCTTGGTATACATTTACCACACGAAAACCGCCACTGCTCAAAAAGATTAAATATTTAGTTGCATCTCTAATCTGGGGCACGACCTGTTCAAATTTCCTGTCGAGTCTCAAAGTAGAAGAGGTCAAATTTAGTTTATAAGTTTGGTGCCTTGGTAACACTGAATGAGACTGCATCTGCTCTGCGTTTGTCTCCACAATCTTGAGTGAATTTCAGACTAAATGGATTGGCAAACGTATAAATGCTTCAGAAGCGAACAATGGACACAATCATAACAGTCCCTCCAAAAACATTTGATTTAAATACATCTTAAAGGTTTCAACAGCGACTTTGTTATTGTTAGTCTATACATTACATTTATTTACATTTCATTAACTCAAGTCATCATGGCGAGTTGTGAGATTCGTAGAATGAGTGTCCTTTATTCCCCATCAGTCTCAAGATTATTTCTCGGGTTCCTCTTTGGGATGTTTGGCCAATTCCTTGGTGGGCAAAAACAATGTTTACATCGCATGTGACTGCGCCCAGTATATGCAAGTACACACAAGCCGTGCATGCTTCACTGCTTATACAGAACTGTTTCCTGAACCCGTTAAATGGTTATTGTGCCCATCGGCCTATTATCATGAATTTCGTCATTCTAGGAATATCGTTGCAGGGTCTTTAGCGGCTACTTGACAGCCAGACGGTGGTGCTTTTGACAATTGACAAGCAAATGAGAATGCACCGACAGCCTGGCCACCAAGGTGCCCTGGCACGCCTGGCAAAGAACCCCCTCCAACGTGGCACAAAGCAACATAGACGGTGACATTTCAATGAATTCGTTCCCTTGAAGAAAACAACGGCGTTGGTGCAATTTGCATGAGAAAGAGCAGTGCCTTTGCCAAATACCCCATCATACCTTGCCATCTCCATCCCAGAGAGTGAACTGCATTTGGCTTGAAAGAGAAAGACATTTGTAGATTTGGTGTTGTTGTTTGTTGGTAAACTTTGCTCATTGGGCTCTCATTCTGCTCAAGTCTGAGCTGATGAAACAAGCAAATGTGGGGAGGGAGGGGAGGGGGAGTTGTTACTCGTGTTGGACAGCTGCGTCGCACGACGCTTGGTGACGCTCGCCCAAGCGGCACAACCTGGTGGAAGAGTTCAGCCTCTGCAAATGGGCCGCGACGCACTGGTACCACGTGTCGTGATCGGTCGTTCTTCTGAAGCACTTCGCGTGACCGAAGAGGAAATATCAACATTGCAGAATTGGGTCGGTGTTGCCACCCTCTGCAAATTGTTTTCCAACGTAATAACGACACGGTTGGGAGTTACCGTGCTGACAAGTGTTCCTGTAGCATCGTGGTTGTCTTAGGCTGCTGAAGACGGTGCCGTAGTCTCACTGTTGAACACGGGGTGAACTCGGGCAAACCGCAGACACAGGCTCTCAACTCCTGCTCAATGAGCCTCCCTCGGTCCTGTTTTCATCTGCCAATGCTCGACATCCCCTACTCACCCAGGTACCAGCTTGAATTAAGACCCCCTGCCATCCAGGCTGCACAGTAGCACATTTCCAGCGCTGATGTGCGGACGCGCTCTTGCTGCAAGACGAAGCAACTCCTTTACAGCTATGCTACATGCTGCTCATCATGGACAACTCGAAGGGGCAGCATGCTTCTCTCCCCAATTAAAACAGACGAGAGCACATTGACAGAGGCGGCCTGGCGAATCAGAGCACTCATACCGACCAGGTCCCAGCAGATGACCCAAACACTGTTGAGATACAGAAATGAATCTAGGCTTCGGCCACCTGAGATTAATTAAACCAGCTTCTCAAGTGAACCAAGTGCGATGTATATATATGTCACGACTACTGCACCAAAACAACCATATTTGGATGTGTGCTCAATTCAATTAAACCCAAGTCTATGGCCGACACAGCAGATAATAGCAAAGCAACCCATGCAGTACTCTGATTACGACAGATCATTAAAGAATGGGAGGCGAGGTCGGCAGCGGGGCTTCGGAGTTGTTTTACTCTACGAGACGTGTCTCCGCCGTTTCAAGCGAAACTAGAATACTGTTGTAAAGAATTCCATTGTGCCTTGATGTAGAAGGAGCTAATTCTCAATGTAACAGATGTAAAATTAGAAATAAATTATAATCTTGAAACTGAGTGGTTTTTTTAGGTAATGTTTGCCGATGTACGTATTACACATTTGGGAATGCTCTATTGGCACAAATGAAGGGCGAAGAATGTTAAGTCAATGAAACACTTGAGAATTCTAACGATCACTCGGTATAACTGAGAGTGTATAAACGGAGAACTGACGAGCTCAATTTATGCAAAGCTGAAAGGTATTTTGGCCCCACCATCGTAAGAAAACTCCTACAGTACCTTGCAAGCCCACCAGAGCAAGTGGCATGTACAAATTAAAAGTGGCCACCTGCTCTAATGAGCAGAGGTCGGGGGTCATCTCCGTAAGCAGCCCTCAGCCAGTGGTGGAAGTTCCACATTATTTTCGTAGGAGTCAGTCTCTCAATTGGATGATGATCATCGCTACTTTCCCACAAAGTGGTACCTGTCATATCCATGCTTTGAGAGATGATGGGCTACGATATACAGTCGAGCATTTCTGTGAAAAGCAGCACGATTCAGCCGAGTGGCCTCAGAAAATGGAATAGGAGTAAAGCCACCAGCAGTTGTGGGACGGTTTTGCCCTTATTAAAAATCATCAGTAAAACGGAATACGTTTCTTCTGCGATACTTCAAGCGGCCACACATTCATCGTTTTACAACTGTCGTCTAGACCGGTGATTCTTAACGATAACGGTAAGGACGTCCCTTTACAGCAGCTATCGAACTCTCACACAAAGCCCATTGCAAAAAAAAGTGGTGTCACGTCTCTCTGATATTAGCACTGACCACCTGGGGGAAAGGGAACTGCTGGTGTGCAGATTCAGAAAGGGCACTCATGCACTTCTGCACACCCCTTGATATATATATCAGACCCTCCATAGCCTTTTAAGGATTCAATAGAAAATAACAATGTCTCTGCATGGACCTTGGTTGAAAACCCCAAAATGTAAACCAAAAAGTAAAGTCACTCCGTGCTCAGACAAGCATGTGGCAACACTTAGTCATCTCATTCATGGCATTGAGCCTGGAGAAGAAATTCCACATAACTATAGCTGAGGCCAGCTACTCCATATGACGAACATTTTCAACTTCCCTCAAAGACACTCATTTTACTGATCCCAGAGAGATGGACCGAATCGACCATTCTACCAAGATGATTCCACAATTAGAAGTCTGGAACACGCTGCTGTGTATGGTACCTACAAAGTGTTTGCAGTTTTTTTTTTCCATTGTGCCATGAGGCCTGAACATCTTTCATCGGAACGTTCATTACAATTTTCTTCCAGCTGACAGAGACTGCAGCTTCCAAATGGCTTGGGAGGAAATTTTAAACGGTGGCCGAACCGGCGAGAGGATGATTGAGAGAGCGAGCGGGTGGACAGGCAATCAGGCAAGCGAGTGAGTAGCACTAGTCCATTTTGAGGTTGACATAGATGTAGCGGATGAAGGCGAGCGACGTGAAGAAGGACACGGAGCCGAGCATGAGGAAGAAGACGTAGCACGTGAGCAGCGTGTAGCCGAAGAACTCGACAGTCTGCACGGCGCCCGACATGTTGGAGCGGCGGAAGTAGTAGAAGCCCGAGTAGAGGAACATGAAGAAGCCGGTGGAGCCGGCGCTGAACACAGAGCGCCACCACCAGCGGTGGTCCTCGCCCGACAGCTGGAAGTAGGTGAGCGCCACCGAGATGCAGGCGCTCACGCTCAGCAGGATGGCAGCGACGATGAAGAGCACGCCAAAGAGCGTGTACTGCTCGCGTCCCCACACCGTCGCGAAGATGTAGTAGAGCTCCACCGAGATGGCGCTGAGGGGCGGCACGGGAGGGATGGGGGGAGCACGGGAGGGGGGGGCCACCGTCGGCGTTAGAGGGTTGCCGAGTCGCCAAGCTACGCGGTTCGATCGGCCGTCACCATTTGGGGTCACCATTTGGGGTCACCATTCTATTCAAAACATCAATTATTTTTGTTGCCGCCGCCGTGCTCGCTTTGTGAACAGTTATGTACATGTGGATGCTAGTGTATCATTTGTAATGTCTTACTTGTACTATCCTTAAATCTTGACTGAAAGCTTTCGTGACTGCAGGAATTCATATTCTTTGGGTCTTTCGGTAGTCACGTAGATAGGTTCAAATAAAATAACAAAAAATCTACAACGTTTCGATCGCAACACAAGCGGTCGTCATCAGGAAAAGGGGGGTTTGCCTCTAAAGGCAAACTGTTTATGAAGGTGTAAAATGGGCCTAGCCCAATTGTCATGTAAGTGATGGTCCACGGCGGCGCTCGTGGTGGGTTTCCACCAATCAGAGGGCTGCCAAGTAAACAGTTAGCATGTAAATGTAGGATCAGAGGGCGACCTCGACGGCGCTGAGGTGGCTATGTTAATGTGAGAGATGAGCGTGTTAATGTGAGAGATGAGCGTGTTAATGTGAGAGATGAGCGTGTTAATGTGAGAGATGAGCGTGTTTTTGTGAGAGGTGAGCGTGTTAATGTGAGAGATGAGCGTGTTAATGTGAGAGATGAGCGTGTTAATGTGAGAGATGAGCGTGTTAATGTGAGAGATGAGCGTGTTAATGTGAGAGGTGAGCGTGTTAATGTGAGAGATGAGCGTGTTAATGTGAGAGATTAGCGTGTTAATGTGAGAGATGAGCGTGTTAATGTGAGAGGTGAGCGTGTTAATGTGAGAGATGAGCGTGTTAATGTGAGAGATGAGCGTGTTAATGTGAGAGATGAGCGTGTTAATGTGAGAGATGAGCGTGTTAATGTGAGAGATGAGCATGTTAATGTGAGAGATGAGCGTGTTAATGTGAGAGATGAGCGTGTTAATGTGAGAGATGAGCGTGTTAATGTGAGAGGTGAGCGTGTTAATGTGAGAGGTGAGCGTGTTAATGTGAGAGATGAGCGTGTTAATGTGAGAGATTAGCATGTTAATGTGAGAGATGAGCGTGTTAATGTGAGAGGTGAGCGTGTTAATGAGAGATTAGCATGTTAATGTGAGAGGTGAGCGTGTTAATGTGAGAGATTAGCGTGTTAATGTGAGAGATTAGCGTGTTAATGTGAGAGATGAGCGTGTTAATGTGAGAGATGAGCGTGTTAATGTGAAAGATGAGCGTGTTAAATTGAGAGATGAGCGTGTTAGTGTGAGAGATGAGCGTGTTAATGTGAGAGATGAGCGTGTTAATGTGGGAGATTAGCGTGTTAATGTGAGAGATTAGCATGTTAAGGTGAGAGATTAGCGTGTTAATGTGAGAGATTAGCGTGTTAATGTGAGAGATTAGCGTGTTAATGTGAGAGATGAGCGTGTTAATGTGAGAGATTAGCGTGTTAATGTGAGAGATGAGCGTGTTAATGTGAGAGATGAGCGTGTTAATGTGAGAGATGAGCGTGTTAATGTGAGAGATGAGCGTGTTAATGTGAGAGATGAGCGTGTTAATGTGAGAGATTAGCGTGTTAATGTGAGAGACTAGCGTGTTAATGTGAGAGACGAGCGTGTTAATGTGAGAGATTAGCGTGTTAATGTGAGAGATTAGCGTGTTAATGTGAGAGATGAGCGTGTTAATGTGAGAGAGGAGCGTGTTAGTGAGAGATTAGCATGTTAATGTGAGAGACTAGCGTGTTAATGTGAGAGATGAGCGTGTTAATGTGAGAGATTAGCGTGTTAATGTGAGAGATTAGCATGTTAATGTGAGAGATTAGCATGTTAATGTGAGAGATTAGCATGTTAATGTGAGAGATGAGCGTGTTAATGTGAGAGATTAGCGTGTTAATGTGAGAGATGAGCATGTTAATGTGAGAGATGAGCGTGTTAATGTGAGAGATTAGCGTGTTAATGTGAGAGATTAGCGTGTTAATGTGAGAGATGAGCGTGTTAATGTGAGAATATGAGCGTGTTAATGTGAGAGATTAGCGTGTTAATGTGAGAGATTAGCATGTTAATGTGAGAGATTAGCGTGTTAATGTGAGAGATGAGCGTGTTAATGTGAGAGAGGAGCGTGTTAATGTGAGAGATGAGCGTGTTAATGTGAGAGATGAGCGTGTTAATGTGGGAGATGAGCGTGTTAATGTGAGAGATGAGCGTGTTAATGTGAGAGATTAGCGTGTTAATGTGGGAGATGAGCGCGTTAATGTGAGAGATTAGCACGTTAATGTGAGAGCTGAGCGTGTTAATGTGAGAGATTAGCGTGTTAATGTGAGAGATGAGCGTGTTAATGTGAGAGATGAGCGCGTTAATGTGAGAGGTGAGCGCGTTAATGTGAGAGATGAGCGTGTTAATGTGAGAGATGAGCGTGTTAATGTGAGAGAGGAGCGTGTTAATGTGAGAGATGAGCGTGTTAATGTGAGAGATGAGCGTGTTAATGTGGGAGATGAGCGTGTTAATGTGAGAGATGAGCGTGTTAATGGGAGAGATGAGCGCGTTAATGTGAGAGATTAGCGTGTTAATGTGAGAGATTAGCGTGTTAATGTGAGAGCTGAGCGTGTTAATGTGAGAGATTAGCGTGTTAATGTGAGAGATGAGCGTGTTAATGTGAGAGATTAGCGTGTTAATGTGAGAGATGAGCGTGTTAATGTGAGAGATGAGCGTGTTAATGTGAGAGATGAGCGTGTTAATGTGAGAGATGAGCGTGTTAATGTGAGAGATGAGCGTGTTAATGTGAGAGATGAGCGTGTTAATGTGAGAGATTAGCGTGTTAATGTGAGAGATGAGCGTGTTAATGTGAGAGATGAGCGTGTTAATGTGGGAGATTAGCGTGTTAATGTGAGAGATTAGCATGTTAAGGTGAGAGATTAGCGTGTTAATGTGAGAGATTAGCATGTTAATGTGAGAGATTAGCATGTTAATGTGAGAGATGAGCATGTTAATGTGAGAGATGAGCGTGTTAATGTGAGAGATGAGCGTGTTAATGTGAGAGATTAGCGTGTTAATGTGAGAGATGAGCATGTTAATGTGAGAGATGAGCGTGTTAATGTGAGAGATGAGCGTGTTAATGTGAGAGATGAGCGTGTTTATGTGAGAGATGAGCGTGTTAATGTGAGAGATGAACGTGTTAATGTGAGAGATGAGCGTGTTTATGTGAGAGATGAGCGTGTTTATGTGAGAGATGAGCGTGTTAATGTGAGAGATGAGCGTGTTAATGTGAGAGATGAGCGTGTTAATGTGGGAGATGAGCGTGTTAATGTGAGAGATGAGCGTGTTAATGTGAGAGATTAGCGTGTTAATGTGGGAGATGAGCGCGTTAATGTGAGAGATTAGCGTGTTAATGTGAGAGCTGAGCGTGTTAATGTGAGAGATTATCGTGTTAATGTGAGAGATGAGCGTGTTAATGTGAGAGATTAGCGTGTTAATGTGAGAGATGAGCGTGTTAATGTGAGAGGTGAGCGTGTTAATGTGAGAGATGAGCGTGTTAATGTGAGAGATGAGCGTGTTAATGTGAGAGATGAGCATGTTAATGTGAGAGATGAGCGTGTTAATGTGAGAGATTAGCGTGTTAATGTGAGAGATGAGCGTGTTAATGTGAGAGATGAGTGTGTTAATGTGAGAGATTAGCGTGTTAATGTGAGAGATTAGCATGTTAATGTGAGAGATTAGCATGTTAATGTGAGAGATGAGCATGTTAATGTGAGAGATGAGCGTGTTAATGTGAGAGATGAGCGTGTTAATGTGAGAGATTAGCGTGTTAATGTGAGAGATGAGCATGTTAATGTGAGAGATGAGCGTGTTAATGTGAGAGATGAGCGTGTTAATGTGAGAGATGAGCGTGTTTATGTGAGAGATGAGCGTGTTAATGTGAGAGATGAACGTGTTAATGTGAGAGATGAGCGTGTTTATGTGAGAGATGAGCGTGTTTATGTGAGAGATGAGCGTGTTAATGTGAGAGATGAGCGTGTTAATGTGAAATCGCAGAGCCGCCGCCACCTCGAGGTCGGCGTGTGAGGTGGCTGTGTGAGAAATTTAACTTGTTAATGTAAATCGGAGATCCGAAATAACAACATCAGAAGGTGGTAGGATGGGAACATCACAGCCAGTTATGACTTAAACTGGTTGATAACGTCCTTCCAATGATGCTAAGTTTGTACCCATATTCTCGGTCGAAATTGTGTCTGTCTGTATATATGGATGGCTTCATGAGGATTTTTATTCTCTCTGAGATCAGGGCTAAGCCGGCCATGAACAAGATCCATTTAGCATTGGGAGAAGTGACAGCAGAAACGTCGTAGATGTTTTGTTATTTTCTTTGAACCTATCTAAGTGACTCTACCGAAAGATCCAAATAATATGAACTATCCTTGATCTGTTTCAGTGCTTCTGACCATATTTTGTTTACATGTACTCTTCTTTGTATGGATTGCGAGCAAAATAATTTATTTTAATTGATGAATGCTTAATCGTAGCCACAAGTGAAAGTGCTCTTCTCTTACGGACACGTTCCTAGGCTGTGTTCAGGCATGGTCGACATAACTCTGAAAGTTTTGTTTACCAGAATCACTCTCGTGAGGTCCCTGCAGAGACGGTAAATGAAAGGTAAAGGGTGCAATGTGGCAGTAACGTCACTTAAGAGTGTGCACCTGACAACAACTTTAAATACTTTGTTCTCATAAACATAGATTGAAACTCGAGTCAGACAGCCCAGAACACACATTCTATATGTGTGTATATATAAAAGCAAAGAGTTTTGTGTTGCATTCTGCTTCGAAAGTGGTGGACTTCTGTAATTCAAAGTGGAAGTGGGGTTGGCGGATCACGCAGACTGTATCGTGCACGATGAGACTCCCAACCTCGCAGCTTTGCAGTGATGTTAGTTTGTCTGCTGAGCAAACACGGAACCATTCCCTATGACGGTGTATGCAAAATGTTTGAGATTTTTCCTCTAACTACATGTGGTATAAACATCGTTCATTTCCACCTTCGGTACCATGACAAAGTGTCCTGCCCTGCACACATGTTTTATTCAGATGACAGAAACTGGGAATTCTCATTGTCAAGACCAAAGAATCTCCATGCTTAAATGGCTGCTGGCCATTGGTCATCTCCGTGGGTGGCTCTCTACCAATGGTGAATATTCCATGTTTCAACGGTAGCACGGGCCAGTCGATACCAAAAACTTAACACGTACACGATTTTTTAATGTTTAAAAAAATTGGTTGAAGGTGAATTTAAAAAGTTTATCAAATAAGTGTAGCCATGTCTGAATTAAAACACCATTGTGGTTACTGAGCAGTAATGACAGAAACAGTCCGAGTGTAAACATTCACCAGGCATTCATCCTGATTTACTCACCTAACCTCACCACCCAAACCCTTACCATGCACTCCCACCCACATCACTCACCACACAAAACACGAGCCATCGAAATTACTCGCCACCCACTCACTATTACAACATTCCACCACGCAAACACTCGCTATACAAAAGACGAATCAACAAAATTATTCACCACCCAAAAGCTTACCACCAAAAATAATCCACCACACAAAGGACTAATCACCAACATTGCTCACTGCAGAAAACACTCAACACTGACATCACTCACTATGCACGAGCCATTCATTCACCATCCAAACACACACCACCCATACTGCCACATTCACCCTCTCACCACTACACTTAGCCCATGTGGCATGTGGTCTGTATGATCCATGTCCAGCATGTGCTGCATGTCTGCATGTGCGACAAGACTGCATGTGCTGCATGACTACGTGCGCTGCGGTGCGTGCGCTGCGTGCGCTGCGTGCGCTGCGTGCGCTGCGTGCGCTGCGTGCGTTGCGTGCGTTGCCCACCTAAACGGCAGGAATCCCCCAACCGTCATGTGCACGACGGCCGACTTGTACCAGGGCTGGGCCGGAATCTCGCGGGCGATGTTTTTGGTGCGGCACGGCGCATTGAATGCGCCCGCGCGGTTCTTGCCGACGATGCCACCGATGACTGTGAGCGGGAAACCGACGAGCAGCCACACGGCCACGAGCAGCAGGATGGTGGTGGCGGGGAGCGCCTGGGTCGAGCCGTTGGCCCAATGCACCGAGTTCACAATGCTCCACGTCACGAAAAATGGGGCTGCACACGTATGCAGGCACACACAAATGTGCAGCGATATTAATGCGTGCATGTACAGCCCTTTTGTTAACCCCACTGTTCGATGAGAGCTCATCCCCACAATGTGCGGGCCGTGGGGGTTATTTGACCATGCCGTACCACGTTGGTCAGTGCTGTCAGTGAAGGCAGGGCGCAGAGACGTTGGAGCATAGTGCAGGCAGTCCTCGAGTTACGAACACCTGCTTCCATGAATTTTTTTTTAAACATGAACTCACACTTCCAAACTAAACCGCGGAACTATTTTGTTAAGCGGAGCAATCTTCCATGAGTTGTAATGAGCGAGCCTGGTGCTGGGAGTGTTTGTGTGTGTGATATAGCCATGGTGACATCATCATCACTTAGTGGTGAATAGTGGGTTTTCGTATTGGTATAGCTTTAACAGACTGCGGGGAAAGTGCTATTAGCGAGTACCTATGAAAACCGGCACGGCACACGAGGGTGGGTGGGCCACACCACACCCGACCGCCTCTGTCTGCCCAGTGGTGATGTTTACACACCAGACCAGGTTCTCATTTGAGGCTGAGTCGACCTAGGGGAGACCCATGATCAGTTCCGATAAACGTCACTGGTGTTGGCCTGAGTGGGAACCGAACTCGGGTCGCCAGGTTCGTAGCACAGCGTGCTAACCGCTACACTACCGCTCCTCGCAACACACACACGCGCGAAGATACATAATGCACCACACTGAAGGCCAGATTCTTAGCTCTGATGTTCGCACACCACCTCACCATGCATCAAGTTAAGGTCACCAGAATCACGATGGCACGGCATTAGACGCACGCCCCACCACCGTAGTATGGGAATACGGAAAATACGAGTCTGGCAAGCGACACGAGTGCCAGGCCCAACGGTCACTCGAGCCGGGAGACACTCGCACCTTGATGATAAGCACTTGGGGTGGTTGTGGTGGTGGTGTTGTTGTTGTTATGGGACGGTTCCCTGGTGGGTGCATTAGGCTCTGCTGACTATCAAATATGGAAGGACACTTATTTGCGTTGTTATTTTACTCCATTAGCACAATTGGGATGTAATTGGTGATAAATCGCCAAACAAATCAGATTTTAAAAACAAACACATAAACAGACACTCAGCAATGCACATAAGCAGACACACACACACAGGCACAGAGTTACACAATCATGCATGCGCGTGCACACACACACAAATGCACGTAAGCGGTTCGGATGCTGTCGTTTTTAACTGCTGCATATTGACACATGTTAATGTAGCGGCTGTAAAAAAGCAACCGTCGTAAAAAACGATCCCAAAATAAAACACATTTAATTGACTCTAATGTTATTTTAACTAAAGCGCACTCTGAGTGGTACATTGATGAAGTCAGCGACTTACGCTTACAGTAAGTATCGGTGCTGCAGAGTAAGTGTTTGAGTAATTGCCAGGCCCAGGGTTAGGATGGATCTGAGCGTAAGGAGTAACTCTTAAGCGTTACGGTTATATGGGTAGTAAGTGTTAATGCTAAGGTTAGGGCAAGTGTGGGTAGTAGAAGTCGTGTAACTGTTAAGGATATTGTTAAGATACATTTTAGTGTAAAGTGAGCTTAAGTCATTTCACACCTGATGACGGTTGCTTGTGTTGCAATCGAAACGTCGTGGATTCTATTATTTATTTTATTTCTACGTGACTTTACCGAAATAACCAAAGAGTAATTCCTGCAGTCACGAAAGCTTCAAATCAAATTTGAGCTTAGTGTTTAAATGTCAATGGTAGGGTTGGGACCAAGGGAAGCGTTCGTGATCAGGTAAAAGTCGTATTGGTAAGGATGAGATCAATCTTGAGGGTTGTTAGGGTGAGTGTTTGTGTTAAAGTTAGTTTAGTATATAGGTAATAACAATAATTTCAACTTGTAACGCACACAGTATTCCCTGTTATAGAGAGGCACGAGGAACCACAGACAAGCAGGAAGGAGACCACGCCAAGAGCCAGCACCAACAAGTCCCCAAGCTCTGCAGTCCTCCACATATAGTAAGGTGTGGAATGAATGATTGTCAACATGTGGGAGAAACCCGGAGCACCTGGAGAACGCCCACGCGTGCGAGAGGGGGGGGGTGCACATCTGGGGGAGCAGTAGTGTAGCGGTTGAGCGCTGCGCTACAAACCCAGCAACCCGAGTTCGATTCCCGATGAGCGGCGAACAAAGTGACAACTATTTGAACCTGTCCTGGGTTGACTCAGCCTCAAATGAGTACCTGGTACGGTGTGTAAACATCGCAACTGGGGAGACAAAGGCGGCCAGGCATGGTGCTGGCCACCCCCCTCCGTGTGCCATGCTGGCCTTCATAGGTGCTCGCTAACAGCACTTGCTCCTATAATCTGTTCAGGCTATACGGGGATCAATGACTTATTACACCGTCATCCTATAGAGATGGAACAGGTGGAGTTCACATGCTTGCTGCACTGTCGCCTCCTGGCAAGGCAGGGTACGATACCCTCCTCAATGCCCATGGCAAGGGAGCTTCGCAACACTTGTGCGATCCACCAACCCTTACCTCCACTGCTGCGACAACAGGCGCGCGCCACCACCGCCAGGCTAAGCGTTGGTGCAAGTGTGTTAAGAGTTTGCGTTTGTGCTTTTTGCTCGTGCGTTTGCATTTAGACAAGTAGTAGGGTAAGTATTAGAATTTAGTTTTTTTACCGAATAAGTCGATGGTGCTAGGCTCATCCTTACGATTACAGTAAAAATAATTGTGAGAGATATTGTTCATCACCTTTACATTCAACCTTAGTGCAAGGGGTCATTATTTGCAATAGGATCACAGAATTAGTGCAAGCATCGTCTACATTTAGTCACAGTGATACACAGCTAAAGGCAATGGCGCACTGCTAGGACATCGTGCTGCACGTGATGACCAACCTTGGGATCACGTCCAATTCTTGGGGCCGGGGTTCGCACCGAAGCCGGTGGGGTAAGCACTCTACCAAATAATTTATCTCACCTGCCACATTGGCCGTCTCTCAAGCGAGGCTCCAGCGTGCTTCCCCCATTCACGCGTCCCATGCGTTTGAAGTTCATAAATTTTTTTTCCTTCAACGTGCCCGCTCCGAGGGATAACCAAGCGCACGTCTTGAGTTATGGCCCGCTGCAGTTTCTGGGTGGGGTAATCAACGGGCCTGTGGTCCCCGGGGCGCGCCCGCCGCTCCGCTCTCATCCCCTCCAGGCGGCTCTTAATTCACACATCGAGCGGGTGGGCGGCTGGGTTGCGACACGAACGGCCGCCACGAGCCTTCATATGCAGTCTTACAATGGCAGACAATTTATCTCTCGATTAAAAGAACTTGCTTCGGCCGTGTGTCAAATTACATTTATGCGCGCATTTTTTTCAAGAAACGAGACTGCATTATGGGTGTCATCTAGCTGACAAAGTCAGTCGATTAAACAGGAGAATAAAATAAATCAGCCAAAGAGTGCATTATGTTGCTTAAAGGAAATTATTCTTCCGTCATGAGCCTGTGGGCCTTTTGCCACCCTTATAAAAGACAATTAATCACCAGCGTCTGTACATTTCTGGCCAGTGGAATTTGTTTATACCGGGCAACCTTGGAATGGTTTTATCTTTATCAGCAAGATGCGCCCTCATAAAACAAAACGACCGTCACAATTGCGGAAACAGTCTCCTACAGAACCATGTGGGGTCCAAATATAAAGCTAACAGTTCATCAGGCCACATCTTCATGAAGGGACTCGATAAAGTCTAAATCCCTCGGATGAATATTACTGGGAGACATTAATACACAACAAGCCATCGTGTGGCTGATGCATCATTTTATAGGTGTCTGGATTTGATGTCAGCTCTTCAGTAGAAGTGTGCTGGCTCATAGCAGTTCTAACTTGGTGCCTTGACACGAGTACAGCATGCATTCATGCAGAGAGTCGTCCAAATGCCTCTAAAACACAATTGGCTGTCAGGAAGCCCTGGGAACCGGCCCACCGCGTGGGAGGCGCGAATACGGAGCGCTGGGGAGGGAGGGAGGCTCTACGAGTCTGGGGACCGCACGGAGCCGTTGCTCCCGAGACCCCCGATATCTCCCGCGACATCACACGCACGCCTACCATCACTCACTCGCCACCTGCGGTTCATCTGTAGAGGCCGGGCGTCCTAATGGACGGGCCATTCCTCAGGCTCCACGTTCCCCACAAGCGCAGCTATGTGCGGCTCGTACACCGCGGCCCGACTAACGGCACCGCTGCGCCAAACGCGTCAGCGCAGAGAAGTTGGTGGCGCGAGGAGCGAGTGGTGGTGATTAACGAGCCTTCGCCTCCATCAATTACCTCTGTGTGGTGGAAACCCACTGGCAGAATTATTTTGTAAGAAAATCCTCATGTGACGGTTCCTGACACATGCGGTTTCTAACTGATGCTTTATATGGTGGTTTAGATAGGAATTTGAGAGCCCACAATAGTTCATCATTACTTTTGTAACAGAGAACTTGGACACTATTCAAGTAAAACAATATTTATTCAATTGAAAGTCAGTGCCTCCATGATCCAAGGGAACATTGGGGCAGTGCTCATCTACAATAACAGCCCAAGGTCTGTGTAGGGAATTGCAATATTATGGTGGACACCCATGTATATTACACACAGAGAATACAAAGGCCCCCATTTAAAACTCAAGTCAAGTTTGTAAATATCCACATAATTACAACACAATATAATTAGGATTTCTAACAGCATCTAAATGCAGCCACATCGTCAAATGCTGTACAACCATGAAGGAATTCTAAATTTGAAGCTTTCGTGACTGCAAGGATTCATACTCTTTGGATTTTTCGGTAAAGTCACATAGGTAAAACAATTAATTAAATAAAATAAATGAAAACTAAATTAAATCACGACGTTTCGGAGGCAACACAAGCCTCATCATCAGGTGTAAAAAGGCACAGCAAAATAACTGTAGCGAGAGTTATTTGTGGCGAGGCATTGTTACATAGGGTCAGAGGAGGGGGAGGAGCCGAGGACGGGGGCGGGATGGGGGGGGGGGAGCCAGGAAGGTGATAGAGAAGGAGGACGGAGCCCCGGATGGGGGACGCAGAGCGGGAGAGTCACGGTTGAGGTTTAACATGTCATTATCATGTCATTTATATGTCATTAACATGGTTAATCACATCTTTCCAATGATTGCTCAATTTGAATCCATCTTCTCGGTTGAAGGTATGTCTATGTTTGTATATCTGTATAGCCTCATGGACAAATCTTTGGTGGTATCCAGACGGCTTGCAGAGTACCTTGATATCGGAAAAAACAATATCATGATCACCCACAGCGTTGTAACAATGATCAGCAACGGCCGAAGAATTCGTTTTGCCGTGTTTTAAATCTGATTTGTGCGAGAGGAGGAATGTTTATTAATTAAAACAGAAAAATAATATTTATTTATACAGTCATACGGGAAGGGCTTGAACCTGGAACTGAACAAGGGCAGAGAGTCAACAACTTGCATGGATGGGGGAACGTAGTTCCAAACCACAGGGCCAAGGGCCAGCAGTAGAGAAGGAGCAACCTCCCATTGAGTGGAGGTTAGGTGAGGGTTTTTCCAAAGAGGCCTTGGTTAGTGGACACAGCAACTACGTGATGAATCAACAACCTACTTCCTGGACTGATACCTGCAGGTTGTGAATGCAAATGAAAATGTGAGGAGTTACCAGTGTTTTTTTCAGCGCTACAACTCAATCAAGGATCTGGGAAACAATTAACATGAAAAATTAGCAAATTAAGTTTTTCTAAGCTTTAGGAATTAATAACGATGAACCCTAACCAAACTAAAGGTTATTTAGTGTGGCTTTCCGAGGTTCAGGAATTAATTATGAAGCCTGTTAATTCTAAAGAAGTTAATCTGGCACTGTGCATCAGGAACTAACAGTGAACCCAATAATCTCATGGCACCTCAGTATGGCTGAACACGAGAAATTCACAAGACATAAGGATCCTAAAAATACCAGTCTGGCTTCAAGTTTCAGATATTAATTAACCAAACGAATCATAAAGGTTCCTTGTTCTAATTGTGTTACAATAGTATTTGTGCAAAACACAGTTACTGGACATGTTAATTCTTGTTCATTAAACTCAAATAAATGAATTATCATTTCTATAAGCATCGTGATAAGCCGAGACATCACAGCCACCGCATGTCCTTGTTTTTTTCCGACGACATCTGCAACTCAATATGTGTCTATTAATACAAACACATGGTGCCTTGTGAACGTGACTGCTCAGTGGCAAGCGAGTGGGCAGACAAGGCCCTGTAGTGCAAATTACTGCAGCTCTGAAAAAGTGCTGCAGCCAATTGAAAGTTGTAACCCTATTCCCCAAGTCCCACCCTACCAGCCCGATTCCCATACATGGTTATCATGCCCCTATTACTACATCTACGAGACAACATGTAAGATATAAGAATATGTTTTAATAAAACAGGTGTTAAGATGTTAAAGCACAAAACTGAAACCTTTTGCAAGGAATCATGTATGCATTAACCACATATACTTGTGAACATGCAAACAAAAACGTGCTCTGGTAGTATATGCATTGTCTTTGAAACTGATTGGTCCACACCAGAGACCGCTTTCTTTAGAGCCTCGTCTCAAACAGTGTTAGACCAGAGGACGCCAAAAGGTGAACACCACAAAGACAATGCCACTATTAGGACATTGAGAGCTCGGGGTGAGCAGCTACATCATGGGACCTCCCTTGCCAGTATCAAAATATAAGAATTGGTTTTACCATTTCTGGAAATAAAACAACGTGAGCAGTTTTTTCCTTCTAATTATATTTCAACCGTGCCATCAACTAAACGTCACGATTTGGAATGCTGTTCACCACTCCATGTCAAGAGGATGGCCCTGGAGGATGATGCCACAGAACTACTTCTAAACATATTCAATTATAGGTCTCTTTAGCTCACGAGTGGCACATTTTTTATAAGCTCTGCAAATAATGTTATTCTCAGAGGTGGAATAAGCCAAATTAAATGAAAACCCAAATTTATGAAGATAGTTTGTGCAGCCATTGGTGACTGTGCTGTGACCATCACTTCTTGAATACTTGAGAATGCTGGAGGGTCACCGAGTGGCTCAGAGGTCAGAGCCCTAAGCTACCACTGCCGAGGTCCCCATTCTCAATCACAAGCGGCTGAAGTCCAAACTCAAACCGAACATCTCAGCTGTGCCGGGGTCAGTTGTCCAGCGCGGTACTCCCCCCCAGCCCCCCCTCCGATCGGTGGCGGCCGCTAGACTGCCGACAGTGTCCGCGTAGTTTAGCCCTGCAGTAAACGGCGGATTACCGGAGAAGAGCGAGGTGGTGAGCACGATGTTCCACACCCAGTTGGTGCCCTGCAGGCGGCGGTAGAAGCCACTGGAGACGTAGCCGGCGATGCAGCACGTGAAGGCGTAGAGCAGGATGGCGGCCGAGTTGATGGCGCCGTGCCGGTGAACATTAAACATCCCCATCAGCGCCATCACCAGGATGCCTGCCCGAGGTGGAGACAAACACCGTGGCTTTAGACGGCTGGAACAATTATTTTGCCCGTGAAGTTAAACACGTTGCTATAATTCGGGGTAATGATACAAGATTAGACGACAACTTTGTATATTCGACCTTCCCACTGCCATCCCAACTAATGGCCTATACGCAGAGCAGTGGGTGCACACGGTGTAACCGATGTGTTCACAAATCCGAGATTTTCACACTCAGTTCTTGATTTTATGTACATTCGCTTATGTCTGAAGTACAGTAAAGCAATTACCCATGTTTAAAGCAGTTTGCTCCGTCAGATATGCTTCGTTGTCCTGTACATTCTTTATTCTTGAGGATTCGTGAACTCACTTGTATCGCTTTCCATAATTCATACAATCTAATTCACTCAGCTTGCTTAAATGTAACATTCACATAAACTTTCCCAAGGATGCTGCAGTTTTTTCAGTTTAATTTATTAGGTATAAACCTGTGAGCCATGCGGCTCTTGACTCGGGTGCAACCGCAACAAAACAAAAACATGAACAAGAAACATCTTAAAGTGACTACACGCAGCAAAAAAATCCTGGAAAAAAAAGCAAAGTCTCTGTACTACAACAAACATGGCTAAACCAAAACGTTTTCAAAAATGACCAAAATAAAGCTATAAAACAATGTAACAGTGATCATAGGAACTGTGATTCAAATTTAACAATAAACGATATACAGTAATCCCTCGCCACTTCGCGGTTCAAGTTTCGCGGCCTCAGTGCATCGCGGATTTTTCGAACTGATTTAAAGGCCTCATTATACCTGTGCAGTAACACCATCATCATCATCATTCATCATCACATTCATCGAACTGCACAGATCTGTCATCGTCGTCATTGTCATCGCCATTGTCATCTTTGTCGCCGTCATTACTGGAGTCAAGTCTCAAGATACTACTGTCATTGATGAGTGTAGAACACCATAATACGTATCGTATGAGAGAGAGAGAGTGAGTGAATGTATAATATTAAGGTTTTATAATTAAATAGATTTAAGTAAAATATATATATAAAGTATAAATATACATATTTTAAACATTCTGGTACCCACACACACATATACGGAAATTCCTAGGGGGCCAATCCTACTTCGCGGATTTTCACCTATCGCGAGGGGTTCCGGTCCCCATTAACCGCGATAAACGAAGGGATCACTGTACATAACATGTACGACCAAACTTTTCAGCCATAGTTGGTTGGCTGCATGAGTCACTCCATAACAGCAGGAGTATCAGTAGCAGAATCAAGTGAGTGGGCAGGCAACCAGTTACACAGCTGGGCAAGTGGGTGCGTGGTGTAAGTGGGCGCGTGGTATAAGTGGGCAAATAAGCAGGAGGTCGCGCACACTGGTGAGTCGGTCAGCGAGTGAGGAGGTGGATTGGTGATCACGTAATCAGGCATGTTGGCGAGTCAACGAGTCAGTGAGCAAACCCGTGGGCAAGCGGCAGAATGAGAGTGCGGTTTAGTGGGCCGAACCTCGCAGTGGCAGATTGGGTGAAACGGGTGAGCAGGTGAGGGGTCATGAGAGTGGGCGAGAGGTCAAAAAGAGGTGGGCGAGCAGGTGAGCAGCGGCGCAGGCCGAGCGCTCACCTGTGGTGAGGGTGAGGAACTGCGAGCCCACGCCCAGCACAGCGCACAGGAGGCTGCGGTGCTGGGGGAAGCGAAAGACATCTGCGTGGATGATCTTCCAGCCGTTGTCGCCCTGGTCGAAGTCCTCGGCCGCCTCGTCGCCCACGTTGTAGCGGGCAAAGTCGTTCTTGAGCACGCGCATCAGGATGATGAGCACGAAGCCGATAAGCAGGAACACGAGCACCATGGAGTTGATGATGGAGAGCCAGTGGATCTCTAGCGTCTTGGGGAAGAAGCTGCGGTCGCGCAGGCGCTCGCCGCGCCGCTCGTACGTCACGCTCGTGGGCTGCCACTTGACAGTGTAGGTGTGCGTCACCACGGCGCCGGGCTCCAGCTCATCCAGGCTGTACGGCTTGGCATCACGCGTGCTCACGTTGGCGAAGATCACCTGGTCACCGTTGTACTCCACAGTAAAGTGTAGGTGTGTCCACAGCCCCACCTGCCACCGGCATCAACAACAGCATCAACGACAATGCCGTAATGTGGTGCCAGCTGTTGGTTCGTTTCCCATTTGGAGTTCCTCCTGCATGGAGGTGCTGTTTCAACCCATGAATATCAGAAGGGGAACTGCGTTTCGATTTGGCATTAAAGAAGAGCTTGCACTTCTCCCCATCTTACGACAAAGCAAAAAGCATTGTTGTAACTACTTCTGAAAATCACTTCAATAGGCCCTTGATCCACATTCGGTACACACCATTACATATGCATAGTGGTGTATGCCACATTCCAATTAAACTGATAATTAAAAATGTTATATGATGGTGTTTAATGCAGTTATGGGTGATCGGGCTGAGATCAACTCACTACACATTGAGCCAACCATAATTAAGGGTGGCTCAAACCTGGATTCGAAAAACAGAGCTGTGGTGCTGCTGTCCTCTAAGCCACCTCTATACGGTTCTTTCAGAATCTGTATTTACAATGAGGGTGAATGAATGAATCAAAAATAGACGCATACAAAAAACTAATTTAAATTTATAACAATGTCATTAATTCTTCTAGGGAAACTGAATTGAGTAAACTTTTTTTCTTCAAAATTTATCACGAGCTTGGGGCTATCAACGGAAGAGAGAATATTGCCCCGTGCTTGCTTAAACAGGACACTTCCAATGATATGCTTAAAACACGTGTGTATATTTACTGCATTTGCCCAGGTGCCCACCCACCTGCCCGCTTTTCCGTCTCCCCAGCCACCATACCTTGTGAGAGTGTGGCAGGAATCCGCTCTCCTCCACGTATCCGACGAAGCCGCGCAGGGGCACGTCCTCGAGCACGAACTCGAAGTAGTACAGCTCCTCGATGGCCTCGTGCAGCTGGTGCAGCTCGGCCTGCGCCAGCGTGACGTCGCACAGCTTGCGTGGCTGCACCACGTCGCGGCGGAAGTGCAGGTCGTAGATGGAGCGTGCCATGCGGTCGCCATCCAGGACCTCGCCCAGCGTCAGGCTCTTGTGCTCGATGTGTTTGGGCCGGCACACGGGCAGTGTGTAGTAGTGGTACGTCTCATGCGGGTTGTGGTAGGGCCCCACCTTGTTCACGTACAGCGTCACCACCTCGCCTTCTTTGAAGTGCGAGCCGCCCGCGTGCGCACGCCCCACTGCCGCCGCCGCCGCCGCCAGCAACAGCAGCGGCAGTGCGGACGTCCTGGGGAAGCGGCTCGCCATGGCGGAGTGGAACGTGGGCGTCAGGGAGAGCTGCGGAAAAAGAAGAGAGAGCCGCTTGGTCAAGCTCGTGTCGCCAAGCGCACGTGACAGAGTAATTGTGTGTTGGATCCTGGGCTGTTCTCTTGCCGCCGCTGTGTCCCCGTGAGTTTAAATGAAGGGCCCTTCACAGATGAACCGTGCTGAGGGAGCATTACGGTGATGGAGAGCCAGCACGCTTTAACCGGGCTGACACCAGAACCATATCACAAGGTCACCCGCAGCAACAAGACAAATATGCTATGACGTCACTCAACAAACCTGTACATTTATATTTTATACGTCTAAGCTAACATATAGCAAGTTAGTAAACTCTCTTGAGCTTACATTAAACAATGGTACTAAACTTTACATTTGTTTTTATGTAACTTGATGACCACCACTATTCCCCTGACCTCATGTAGATTCCTGCCCAGTGATGGTGTCCACCTGGGTTGGACAGTAAGCCATGCAGAAGTCATGGGAGTGTGGAGACAGAGGGCAGGTGGTAGGGGAAAGGGTGGGAGGGGGTGAGGCTACTTGGTCTGTGGGATTAGGCCTCGGCAAGGTAAGGTAATTTACCTTTTTTACAGGGTAAAAGGGTAAAGGTAAAGATGTCGACATGCCAAGGGGTAAGGTAAAGGGTAGGGTAAAGGTAACTCGGAAGAATTACCCGGTAGGGTAAAGGTAGCGCGAAGTATTACCCGGTAAATACGGTGCCTTGTTTACCGCTAAAAGCTCCGTGGCGCAGTCCGTGGCCTCCATTTTACAAGTAATATTTAAACAAACTTTTAAAAAAACATGCTTTTATTAAATGTACGAGTAATGACAGAACTCTACGACTCCAGGAAGTGGCCCTGAAGCTCGCCATAACGTAAGGGGCCGTGGTGATTTACAGCCAACGTCAGTTGACCGTGGACAATTAGACCAAAGCCGAAACATAACATCTAAAAAAGGATTTTATGATAGAATATAGTGTTGTCATCAGTATGACATAAGTATACCAAGTTTGCAGTCGATACCACATTAGGAAGTGGGTAAAAATTTAGTTACAAGATTTGAGGATACAACAACGACGACAACGACAACAACAATGACAACGACAACAAGCGTGTAAAATTGGAATCATCGAGAGTATTCTATATGAATAAAGCGCTCTACCTAGCATTTACCGTTATAAACCTTGTTCATGTGTAGTAGTACCCCAGTAATTACCCTGTAATCGGGTAATTTGTAAGGGTTAAAGGTAGGGTAAAAGGTAGGCTCGTTGCTTTTCACCTTTTACCTTACCTGCTAAAGGGTAAAAGGTAGGGTAGAGTGATTGTATTGTGGTAAGGTAAAAGGTCGGGTAAAAATAGGCTCGTTGTCTTTACCTTTTAACTTTTACCTTACCGAGGCCTATGTGGGGATGACACACACAGGCTCAATATGCAAATCAATATCCCACTCAAACGTGGGATACGTTTTGAACGTTATTCAGGGGTGACAGCATACTGACACCCAGAGCAAAGGCAAGTTGGGTTGTCGAGCGAGCCAGTTGTGGTTTGAACCACTGTACACAGACAATTTCCAAACAAGGGCCGTGGAACAAACTTTGCTTTCTCAGGAGTTACAAGGAACATAGAAGCCACACAAAAAAATGTCTGTTTGCTTTTTGCTGTTGTATGAGGTCCGACATTTCTCTACACATAAACACAAGCATGCTTAAATCACTGGAAGATATGTTGCAATGAGCTTTAACAATATATATTTTAAACCTAAATGCAAATGTATCCCAAGTATGGCTGTGCTTTAACAATGAAGGGCAATTAGTTACCAAAAGTCAGGTGTGGTGGCATGCCTCTGTGATCAGCACTTTGGGCAGCAAGGGTTAGTGGATGACAAATATGTGTTAAATGTCTAAAACCGCTGGGCTGCGAGATGGCCTAATGGGGTGCCACGGTGGAAAGATGTTAACATGGTATACAGGTCGTGGGTTCAATCCCAACCCTGATGCTTGTATATTTGGAGTTTGCATGTTTTCCCCGTAATCACATGCATTTTTCTCGAGGTTCTCTGGTTTTTCACTCCACCTTGAGAAACATGTGTTTAATAGTATTTAGCTGCTATAAATTTAGACGTGATAAGCCACTTTGTTGAGCTATTACTTGTGGCCAAGTCGATTCTGAAAAAGAGCGCTATAGCTTAATGGACCTTACCTGGTGAAAATAAAATTGATATATATTTTTAGATAAAACCATTGAGTGTTATCCTATGGTTAGATGGGCTTTGTACAGACCATCGAAGACGCTCCACACAAATAAAATAAAACTCCTGATAGAGGGGAATTGGCCAAACATCCCAATGCAGGATCCGAACTGAAATATGCACTTGGGATTCTGTAAGATTTTTGGGATAAAATACCATTATTATAAGATATTCATGTAGACTATTTCAACTATGAAGAGGGCTTGCACGGGAAACTTCACTGAAAGGAATGATGGCCGATAAGTCAAGAATAGTAATGGGAGTAGTAACCAAAGAATGGAAGACGCCTGCAAAGACATCCAAACAAGGAGATTGAGCTCCGTTGAGATGTAGGTGCTCGGTGATTATTACATCACAGGATCGTGAAAGGTGGTGGCAGCGTAGGGAGCCATTCATCTAGCAGGTAAAACTTTTCTGCACAGTTATAAAAACTCTGTTATGGAAACGATATCTACAACACCCGGGGGGTTGGGGGGTCTCGTCGCGATCCCACGGCTAAACTGGTTGGGATGATTGCCAATTAAAACAAGTATGAAAAACAACAGTTATTGCATTTAAGTTTGGCAAAGGATGCTGCGTGTGTTGCTTGAAAAAGTTAATCATGAAAATTCAGAAAATGGCAAAACTCCATTTGATCCATTCATATATCTATTATACGAGGTAAACGTCAACCTTAAGTCAAATTGTCTCCCAATTCAAAGGAGAAATGGTGCAGCATTCATCTCCATTGGTAACCCTGAGTTACTGATGGATATGCCACATCCCCATGGCGAAAAACAATCACTTCATAGGCCTGCCACGATTGCCTTTCCAAGAAAAGGTTCTCATTTGTTTTACACTAGAGGGACGATAACCTTAGTCGTCTGCTGACCAGGATTAATGTTTATACGTTTAAATTAAGTGGCAACACTCGGCCGGTGTCGGGATTAAAATGGTAATGCATTCGTCTTGTTGTTTTCCCACGCTGTTGCTTTGACTTGTGATGACCTCCTGTATCATTTGTGGTGGAGTGACACCATTTCTGGACATAAACGTAGGTTTTATCAGATTTAATTGATCAATCATGAGTATGTTTTTGTGGGTTTGTCGAGTATATAATTAAGGTAATTAATCATAGTTGCTTAGACTCTGGTCGACATGTTATTTATGCAGTCGTTGGTCAGTAAAGCTGTTTTTCCACTTTTAGCAAAAAGTTCGCTTTTAAACATGCGTCCCTTTTTAACCTTTCGAAAGTTTGTGCGGAATGCACTTTTCCACGCCCATTGCCACCCCCCAAAGGCACTGAGCCAACACGGCAATGAGTAAATAAATATAATATTTTCCTAGGTCAGGACGTGACACGCTGCCACGTAAACTCTACGGTCAACCGGAACAGTTCTCGTGGTTTCATGCGAAGGCAAAGCCGTCCAGGTGGTGGTGCACGAGAGCACCGAGCCGGCAAAAATGAAAACTGGCTCAAACTTAGCACGTCAAAAACGGGAGAAAAAAATATTGTAATTCATGATAAAACACCGAATTATGTATACAAATACTTCACCCGCATTCTACTAATTACTCATTCGAAACAAGTTTATCATGTACTCTGTTTAGAAGCTGTGAGCCGATTTACACTAAAGTTCCTGAAAAATCTCGGATTTCTAAGCACCCATTGGGGTTAGCGTGGCATGCACGCAATGGGTCGTGAGGCCAGGATCAAGAAACGCTTAGTATCCCGGCCGCTGTTGCGCAAACTCCACGAGGCACTCATTTAAGGTTGAGCGCAGCGATTGGCATATTAGCAAAGCGGCTATTTTGTTCGTAGGAAAACGAAAGTTCGATAACAAACAACCTCTTAAATGGGGCACTGCACTTTCGTGGTGAAGAAACTTGCAATAAAAGTCCTTCTGTGCTGACAGTGCCCAGAATCACAAATCTTAAACATAACCAACACAAAGTAAACAATTACAATCCTCATGTAACCACCTTCAACAATATCACTACCGTATAATACACAGCCGCGGCATAGGGTAGGCATATAAACAGACGTGTCTTTGTATGACGCCACACACGAGAGAGTGAATCATAAGCAGCTCTCACGATGTTAAATAACGGACACTGACAAGCGAATCTCAATGAGCCCTTAGCTGGTGAAATAATGGGCACTTCAATAATACTATCAATACATATCAATAAATACTAATAAATACAAACTACAGGATGGAGCGACACTTCACCCGTTTCGGCCTGCGCGCCACTCGCAGCCCGCCACTTTCAACGTGGACTCGGACAACTCCAACTCGGCGACTAATTTACGAGGCGCCTCGTAAATTAGCTTGCAGCTCTCGGTCGGGCTGCCTCGGAGTCATTCAGCAGCGAGCGGCGCTCAGCGCAGTCCTCACGAAGCCGACGAGGCGGGCAGGCGGCGAGCCACTGAATGCGACATTTCAACCGAAGCTCGCGGCTCACGCCGAGCGATGCAACTGTCCGCGCAGACCACGGCGCGGCCTTCTCGTCGTCCGAACGAGACGCGAACTCAATGAGCAGCAGCAGCAGCAACAACAAAAACAACAAAAACACGTTTAACCTCGGGCCTACTGCGGGCGCCAGTCAGGCGAACGCGCCCTCCGCGCTCCACCAGTCGACGGCTCCGGGCCCCGCGGCCTGTGCTCTGCTGCTGCTGCGCGGTCCCCACCCCACCCCACACCACCCCACACCACCAGCCCGGTGGCCACCGAGGCGGGTTGCGCGGCCTCTCTCTCTGGGCCCGGGATTCTCCGCTCCGCCGTCTCCGCTCCGCCGAACTTTCTCCGCCGCCCGCGGCCGCTCGCTCCAGGAAGCGGCGCACGTCACCCCGCCTCCCACAATGCCCCGCGCGTGCGTACTCAGAATCGATTCCCCCTCCTCTCCACTCCAGTGTACTACTAAAGTAGTCCTCCACACCAGTGTACTACTAAAGTAGTCCTCCACACCAGTGCACTACTAAAGTAGTCCTCCACACCAGTTTACTACTAAAGTAGTCCTCCACACCAGTGTACTACTAAAGTAGTCCTCCACACCAGTGCACTACTAAAGTAGTCCTCCACACCAGTTTACTACTAAAGTAGTCCTCCACACCAATTCACTACTAAAGTAGTCCTCCACACCAGTGCACTACTAAAGTAGTCCTCCACACCAGTGTACTACTAAAGTAGTCCTCCACACCAGTGTACTACTAAAGTAGTCCTCCACACCAATTTACTACTAAAGTAGTCCTCCACTCCAGTTTACTACTAAAGTAGTCCTCCACACCAGTGTACTACTAAAGTAGTCCTCCACACCAGTGTACTACTAAAGTAGTCCTCCACACCAGTTTACTACTAAAGTAGTCCTCCACTCCAGTTTACTACTAAAGTAGTCCTCCACACCAGTTTACTACTAAAGTAGTCCTCCACACCAGTGTACTACTAAAGTAGTCCTCCACTCCAGTTTACTACTAAAGTAGTCCTCCACACCAGTTTACTACTAAAGTAGTCCTCCACACCAGTGTACTACTAAAGTAGTCCTCCACACCAGTGTACTACTAAAGTAGTACTCCACACCAGTGTACTACTAAAGTAGTCCTCCACACCAGTTTACTACTAAAGTAGTCCTCCACACCAGTGTACTACTAAAGTAGTCCTCCACACCAGTTTACTACTAAAGTAGTCCTCCACTCCAGTTTACTACTAAAGTAGTCCTCCACACCAGTTTACTACTAAAGTAGTCCTCCACACCAGTTTACTACTAAAGTAGTCCTCCACTCCAGTTTACTACTAAAGTAGTCCTCCACACCAATTTACTACTAAAGTAGTCCTCCACACCAGTGTACTACTAAAGTAGTCCTCCACTCCAGTTTACTACTAAAGTAGTCCTCCACACCAGTTTACTACTAAAGTAGTCCTCCACACCAGTGTACTACTAAAGTAGTCCTCCACACCAGTGTACTACTAAAGTAGTCCTCCACACCAGTTTACTACTAAAGTAGTCCTCCACACCAGTGTACTACTAAAGTAGTCCTCCACACCAGTTTACTACTAAAGTAGTCCTCCACACCAGTGTACTACTAAAGTAGTCCTCCACACCAGTGCACTACTGAAATAGTCCTCCACACCAGTGCACTACTAAAGTAGTCCTCCACACCAGTGTACTACTAAAGTAGTCCTCCACACCAGTGTACTACTAAAATAGTCCTCCACACCAGTGCACTACTAAAATAGTCCTCCACACCAGTGTACTACTAAAGTAGTCCTCCACACCAGTGCACTACTAAAGTAGTCCTCCACACCAGTGCACTACTAAAATAGTCCTCCACACCAGTGTACTACTAGAGTAGTCCTCCACACCAGTTTACTACTAAACTAGTCCTCCACACCAGTTTACTACTAAACTAGTCCTCCACACCAGTGTACTACTAAAGTAGTCCTCCACACCAGTTTACTACTAAACTAGTCCTCCACCCCAGTGTACTACTAAAGTAGTCCTCCACACCAGTGCACTACTAAAATAGTCCTCCACACCAGTGAACTACTAAACTAGTCCTCCACACCAGTTTACTACTAAACTAGTCCTCCACACCAGTGCACTACTAAAATAGTCCTCCACACCAGTGTACTACTAAAGTAGTCCTCCACACCAGTGCACTACTAAAGTAGTCCTCCACACCAGTGCACTACTAAACTAGTCCTCCACACCAGTGTACTACTAAAGTAGTCCTCCACACCAGTGTACTACTAAAGTAGTCCTCCACACCAGTTTACTACTAAAGTAGTCCTCCACACCAGTGCACTACTAAAGTAGTCCTCCACACCAGTTTACTACTAAACTAGTCCTCCACACCAGTGTACTACTAAAGTAGTCCTCCACACCAGTTTACTACTAAAGTAGTCCTCCACACCAGTGTACTACTAAACTAGTCCTCCACACCAGTGTACTACTAAAGTAGTCCTCCACACCAGTGTACTACTAAAGTAGTCCTCCACACCAGTGTACTACTAAAGTAGTCCTCCACACCAGTTTACTACTAAAGTAGTCCTCCACACCAGTTTACTACTAAAGTAGTCCTCCACACCAGTTTACTACTAAAGTAGTCCTCCACACCAGTTTACTACTAAAGTAGTCCTCCACACCAGTTTACTACTAAAATAGTCCTCCACACCAGTTTACTACTAAAGTAGTCCTCCACACCAGTGTACTACTAAAATAGTCCTCCAGACCAGTGTACTACTAAAGTAGTCCTCCACACCAGTGTACTACTAAAGTAGTCCTCCACACCTGTTTACTACTGTGGTGGTCAAGGTTGACACCAAGGTTGACACAGGTCACACAGGTCACACAAGCTAGGGGAGAGGTACGTACCGGTCTGGACCGGCCCGGATTGACAGGGACGAGAGGTGGTTGGAACGGCTCTGAGGGGAGGGGGCTGGCAAGAGCCAGGGCCCGAGACACCCCCGCCCCTCAGAGAGAGGGGATATATAAGACGGCTCCCGGAGAGCGGAGGGGGCGATCGGAGGAGAAGCTGAAGGAGGAGAGCCGGAGATCCTGGACCCCCAAGCCTCAAGGATGCCGCCCCGCTGGAACTGAGTGGGCTGAGTAGCTGTAGGCTAGGGAAGAGAGTAGCTGAGTAGCTGTAGGCTAGGGAAGAGAGTAGCTGCGTAGCTGTAGGCTAGGGAAGAGAGTAACAGAGTAGCTGGAGGCTAGGGAAGGAGAGAAATGAGAATAGAGCCGGAGGCTGTACCTCCCTAGGTTGTGTGTGTGGGACTGTTTCCCCAGTGAGTCCTGAGGACTAGTGTTATCGGAATAAAAGCGTGTGGCCTCTACGAAGTGTCGGTCTCATTCAAGAATACTACAATTGGTGTTAGAAGCGGCCAAAGAACCTCGCCGACATGGAGACAAGACAGAAAACGCTCACCAGGGGCCAGGAGAAGGACGTCGAGGGAGACGCTGAGCCGGAGGCGGGAGCGCCATTTCCGGGGGACGGGTCTGCGGGGGCGGGCTCGGGTTCTCCGGGGCCCTCCAGGAGTCCGCCGACGTCGGGATGGGCGATCCAGTCAGCCCATGCCCGGCTGGCCGATCTCCTCCATGCCGCTGCCTCCATCCTCGACGAGCTCACGCTGGGGGGAGCGGGAGCGCCGGGTGGAGTACCAGGCCGGAGGATGGGACGGGTTCCCGCCGAGAAACGCGCCATTCCCGCGCAAAACTTTGACGTCACCTCCGGAGGGGGAGACGTCACTTCCGCCGGGGATGCGGCCGCCGGGGATGACGTCACTTCCGCCGGGGGGGTCACCGCTTCCGGGGGACGTGACGTCAACCGCCCAGGAGGTCAGGGGGCAGAGGTGGCCCGCGTCACATCCGCCATCTGCGGCCTTACATCGGGAGAAGCAGAGTTTTCGGGTAGGTGCCCGCCGATTCCGTCTGATATTCTGCCGCCGGAAGATGCTTCATATACTGCACTTGGGACGCTGCTGTCTTCTAGGGGGGACTACATCCCGGCGCTACAACAGCGCTTGCCTTCGCTTCAGGTTTTCACGGCAAAGGGGGGGGACTGGGCTGCTTTTTCACGCCGTTTCGTGGCAAATGCCGAGACGGCTGGGTGGTCTGCTGACATCGCTCTCCGAGCCCTGCCTTCCGCCTTGGACGACGTGGCCTTGGCCACGTTCCTCCTTATTCCACGGAGGCAACGCTCCACTTTGCAGGAGGCCCTCGATCGGATGGCCTTAGTGTATGGACCTCCATCCGAAACTAGACATCGTTTCGCCAGTCGGAGGAGGGAGGCGGACGAGACACCTCTTGCCTATCAGAGTGCACTGATGGCGTTGGCTCAAGCAGCCTACCCTCGAATGGACGATGTGGGCCTGGACTCCATCGTGCTGGAGAAGTTGCTGCTGCTGGCTCGGGATCTGAGGATTGCCATCCACGTCAAAGATGAAGCTAACCTTTCCTCGCTGGGGGCGGCACATTACCTGCACACAGAGTTGCTCCTCCAGCGGGATGGGCAGGTGGCTGCGTGCGCCGCTGCAAGAGTTGACGAGGTCCCGGATGCCCAGGCCTTTGCGTCACAGCGGGCCGCCAGTTGGAGGGGGGCCGACCGGCCTCGCCAAGGGGAAAACCGGGGGAGACACGGATCCCCGCGGGCGTGGGCTGGCGTCACGTGCTATAACTGTGGCCAGCTGGGTCACCTGGCATCGGGTCGCCCGTCCGCCGGCCGCTCCACAAGACCCCCAGGCATGTCGCGACACCTCACGCACACGGTCCCTGCCCGCATCTCATACACCGCGAATCGGCGCGCCAGTAAATCGCGTTGCGTTGAGGGGTGGGGAGCGGAATGGGGCTGATGTTCGGGGGCCACTTCGCGCGGTTCAGTGGTCCGAGTTGGCCCACAGGGTCGTGGCCGCGGCAACGGGCTCGTCGGTTATTCTCGGGGATATTGAGGGAATTCAATTTCGATTGTTGGTCGATACGGGGGCTTCGGCTACTATAATCTCCGACCTCATATACAACGTGTTACCAAAGAGATGTCAGGCACTCACCCCGTTCTCCGTCCCTTGCTTTGCGGCAAATGGGGGTTCCCTGGGGATCATTGGCCAAATAACTGCACAAATTTGTATTGGCGACATTAAATTATCTGGTCCCATTTTGGTTTCCGATGCCTTGGCCGTTCCCTGTCTGTTGGGTACGGATTTCTTGGGGAGGATGCCCATCAAAATTTTGATTGACAAAGGCTGCAT